AGGCTATGTATTGATGTTTCAATTGAAGTTTCAAATTCAAGTTTCAATTGAAGGTAACGGTTTATGCACTAGTGTGTATTACAAACCTACAGACTCGCATAATTACTTGTTATATTCGTCTTCGCATCCATCTCACATTAAGAATTCCATTCCTTTTTCTCAGTTTCTAAGACTTCGTCGTTTATGTAGTGATGACTCTGATTTCCACCACAAATCAGAGTCAATGTGCCAGTTTTTCGATAAACGTGGTTACCCTGTTTCTGTCGTTCAAGCGGGTTACCACCGCGCCCAACTTATTGATCGACATTCAGCACTACAAACGTCGCATAAGGAAGATTCCGACCGCATTCCATTCACTCTCACGTTTCACCCTCACAACCACTCAGTTAAATCCATCATTCTTAAAAACTTTAAATTACTTCAAAACGATCCAGAGACAAGCACTATCTTTTCGCAGCCTCCGCTCATTTCATTCAAACGCGACAAAAACATAGGCAATTTTTTGGTCAGAAGTTCTTTTCAGACTAATGACCAACCAGGCACTTTTAAATGCGCTCGTGCACGATGCAAAACGTGTCCTTTCATTCACAACACTGATAAAATATCGGGACCTAAACGATCCATTAAGATCACCGATCACTTCACGTGCACCTCCGCCAATGTAATCTATTGCATAACTTGCACTTATTGCAAAAAGATATACATCGGCGAAACAGGCAGAAGACTAGGTGACCGATTCCGAGAACACCTTCGAGACGTGGAAAGGAATGACAAGGACACATCGAAACCAGTCGCTAGACATTTTAATTTACCTAATCATTCTAAGCAACATATGGCAATCTGCGGTCTTTCCTTACACTTAGGTAGCACGGAAAGCCGTAAAAATCTTGAACAAAAGCTCATCTTTCAAACCGGCAGTCTAAATCCCACAGGGATCAACGAACGCTTTTCATTCCACTAATTTATTCTTGTTTTTCTCGTTGCCATGTTCCCACCAATAACGTAGCTCCATTTTCTGCCTTTAAAAGCACACACAACCGACAATTCCTCTATTCGCTCCGACGAAGGGCTAACGCTCGAAACGTCAGCTTTTGTAATCGTTACGGTGGCCAATTTACCATTTTAATTTCGTTGATATATCCAAATTATCTCGTTACCCCCACCGAAGCGGCCCCAAACAGTTTCTTTAGAAACTATCAACGCCTATTTTCAAGTAATTGTCAGTTTGAGAACTTGGTTTGACTAAGTTGCTAAGTTTGGGGTGCGTGTTATAACCGAGTGCGCCTTATAACTAAGAAAATACGTTGTATGCTATTACAATTGTTCATCTGCTTGAACTGAGTCTCATCATAATTATAAAAAAAAAAACACAAATAAAAAGATTCTTAAAGAACTTGTTTCAGTATTAAGATCATGGCATTGAAAGAGACATTTAGGGCAAGGCCACACTTTCATTAGCACAATAATGCTGACAAGAACACTCTGAAATAACCCCTAGCAATTTTGCAAACCTCTTGCCTTGGAAACCAACAGGTGCCCCAAAAATCTAAAGACCCCAAACTCACAATTCTTTTTTCAGACTTAACATCCTAAATGCTAAACAGCTTGCTTACTTCTTGACAATTTTTCCAGTCTTCTCTCCAAATGGAAAGAATGATAGTGATGATGATGATGATGATGATGGAAAGAA